GGCAGGGGGGGGGGAAGGAGTGGGGGGAGACACATGGGGAGAACATACTGCCGGGCGATCCAGGTCAAATGGTCAATGTGCAAGGCACTGGAGCTGATCGATTGGTCCAACGGGCCGACGCCGGGGTTGGACTCGTCAAAGCGATCACACAGCCACTGGGCGAAACTCAGATGGCCAGTCAGCCATTCCTTCTCAAGCTGGCCGTAGGTCCCGGCGCGCAGCCGGCTGAGGATGACCTCTGGCTGTGCCAGACCCAGGACCGAGAGCTCCGCCTGAAGGAGGCGCGTGTGGGTGAAGCACCCCCGGGCGAAGAGCCACTCGGCCACCCCGCGAACTTCGAGCAGGAATTCCAGAGTCATCTGGCCGGAGGATGACTCGCCCGAGGTCCCAATGTTCGGCGAGCCAGCAGCATGCTCTTGGGGCTCGGAGTGGGTCTCAAGCCGGGGCGAGGGCACCGGGCTCTCGATGGCCGTGGAGATGCCCTCGCCGGCCATTGTCCCGACCCCCTCGCCCGTGAGCTCCGGAACATCCAGCGAACTGGATGAGCCATCCCCACCCGGGGACTCGACCAGGGCCGTGCCGCTGCCCGGGCCGAGAGGTGGCTCCAGGCCGGAAAGGTCATCGGCTGAGGCCTGCAAACTGCTGAGGGATAAGCGCGTATGCGAGCCGCCAATCCCCGACGGCCCGACAGCGGGCAGAGAGGTGGTCGATGTGTTGACCGAGGCCCGGGTGCTGGCCGGCGCGGAAAGTGGGCCCACCGATGGGGACATCGGCGGCGATCCGGCCGCGGAGAAAACCCCAAACCCGGCCAATTCCCGTAGGGCCACCACCGCATCGCCATAATGTGTCAGGGTGTCCCGCATGGGGCCACTTTGCTCGAGAGCCAAGCCGGCCCGAACACAGGCCGAAATCCGTCGGCCAAGAACATGCCGCACGCGGGACCCCTTCGGCAGGGCATCCAGCTCCAGCTGGCTGATGATGGCCGCGCGGGTCCGATACACCAGCTGCGTGGGCGACAGGAGGTCTTCTTCAAAACTGAGACCCAATTGAGCGAGGTCAGTGCCGGTCGAGGGGCAAAGAATTTGGCAACCAACAGGGGCGCGCACTTCTTGAAGAAGGCCAGGGAGTCCTTGAGACCAATTTTGGAGAAGACAATGAGGGAGTTGCCCGAGTGGTGGGCTGGCCGGGCAAAGGGGGCTACATTGCCGGGGACCGCGCCCGATGAGGTACCCGAGCTGCTGACCGCAATGCTGGCTGATGCATTGAGGACCGAGGCCAGGCGGGTGTGGCGCTTTTGGGCATGCTCCAAAACATCGGGCGAGACTGACCACCGGGGGAGTAAGGGGGGGGGGGGAGGGGCCGGGAAATGGCCGTGATGTTAGGGAGTTCAGTGGGAATGACAACAGCCGAGGCGAATGAGAGGGCACAGGATACGCACTCATTCGCGGCGAAAGGAGCGGGAGGGAGATGAGCAGGACAACCACACGCGTGGAGAGGTCCAACCAGGAAACCCTGATGTGAGGATGAGGGGGAGACAAATGCCGGTCAGTGCGACAGAGGAGGGGGGTGTGCGAGCATGCCCGCAGGACGGAACGGGACGGGAGGGGGGCGAGTGGGCAGAGTAGCATGGAGGCCATAGCGCACCGAGAAGCCACAACCTCCGACACAAGGTGCTCCTCCTCCTGCTTCTCGAGGCTCTTGAGATCGGGGCTAAGTGGTTGCAGGACGCCTGGCGCGGTGGCGGCCGCGGTGGGCAGGAAGGGGCTCGGACTGGGCGGAGGGGAGGAAGACAGGGGGTCGAACTCGGGAGAATCCTCGCCCAAGTCGCCGAGTTTGACGTTATCCAACTTGGCCAAGTCCAAGACCCCATTCAGCGGGTTGTTGATCAGTCGCACGAGCACAACAGTGCCAGGGAGCTTGACGCCGAGGGGGGGGGGGGGGGGGAGAGAGACATTGGTGGCCGAGCCAGTGGGGAGGGTGAGAGTGCTGCCACAAGAGAGGAAGCAAGCCCGGGGCGGTCAGGATGAGCGACAACGATGGAGTGCGCACTTGACGAAAGTTATGGGCCACTTGCCGGACATTGATGAGACCGAGGCTGCCAGGAAGCGGATGGTTGGTCGATGAGGCCGAGCCGCAGGCAGCAATCAGCTCCGGCTCGGGGAAGGCCGAATCCAGCTCGATGGCATGCATGTTCCCCAAGCTAGACTGGGCATAGGCGAGGATCTCGTTACGCATGTGTGTGGCCCAGGGCTGGATGTGAGGGTGAGGCACCAGCAGGAGGAAGATACCAGAGGGCCCCCCTCCCCCGGAGGAGGGAGACCCAGAGACCGATGGAGAGATGGGGACAATGAAGCCGAGGGGGGCGAGGGAGCTGTCAGGAGCATGGACGCCCGGAGGCAGGGGCATGGACAGAAGCGCACCTGGCTGGCGCTAGATGCCGGAGAGCCACCACTCGGGGACCGGAGAATGGAGTCAAAATGGAACCCAACCACCGGTAGGGCTGGAGCATACTGGTGGTCATCGGCGGTGATCGATCGTAGAGAAGGAGGCAGCGGCGAGCAGAGAGCCGGCAGGATGGGCGAAGGAACGCCATTCGAGTTGGCCGAGTCCGAGTCGGCCGAGGCAGCCGGGGCAGCGCCAGTAGCAGAGGAGGGAGCCGGCCCGGATCCGGCCCCGGCAGCAAGCCTCCCGGCCTGCTGGCTAAAGCTGAGGCTCATGCGGGGGAGGGGAGAAGGGGGGGGGGGAGAAGACAGCAAAGCGGCCGAGGATGGGGGGAGGAGGGGAAAGTAGGCGAAGGGGGGGATACTCGCGGGCACCCTGTGGCAGGGGGCGGACGGCCCGAAAAAGAGCCCCTCAGAAAGTTGTGTCCTCCGGACGAAGGAAGCCTTTTGCCGGCGCGGGTGGGCCCTAGACTGGCCCTGGGTCGGAGGAAAGGGCATGCGTGAGAGGCCGGGCCCCGGGCAGAATCCGTTCGCTGGGCCTCTCCCTCCCTCTCTCTCTCTCTCTCTCTCTCTCTCACCGCCGCCGAACCATCCCGTCTGATGAGCCGTCACAAGAGTCGGAGAATTGGCAGTTGAGGGTAGGCCCATCCGTCCCGGATCCTGGGTGGCGTAGCCCGAGGTTCTCCGGCGGACAGAGGGGTGGACATGCCCGGTTGGGGGGGGGGGGGGGGCGGGCTGGCATTCCCCGGCTCTCGAAGCCGTAGATGGCGTAGCAAACTGGACGCTGGGGAGAGAACCCGACGGTCCTTCTTTGCAGGGATGGACGCATATGGGGCTGTGTGTGTCTCCCCCAACGGGGGGGGGGGGCATCCTGGAAACAATCATGAGGGAATCACTCCGGGTCGGGCCCCCTCTTTCTTTTTCCCGGATCGATCTAGTGGCTGGAAAGTGGACCACGGCATCGGTCAGCGCCCCAGACGGCCGCAGCTGCGAGATCTTTGTGCCTGCTGGGAAGGACGGCGAGATGGTGATCTCTCCCGGCCACCTCTCCCCATCATCTTTCTCCCTCTTCCCTTTTGCTCCTTCTTGCTGCCTCTCTTTAGACATACATACCTATATATCTCCTCCTCTTCGCCTGCTCGTCCCTTGCCATCTGGCGCAGACACCCGATTGGCCGTCCCTGTGAGCTAGAGACCGAGCAGGAGTAAAAGAGAGAGGGAACTCGCACACGCGAGACACACACACACACACACATATATATATACACATACAGAGAGAGGGTGAAGTCCCCCCCCCCCCCCCCGATCACAGCGCTACCCTCGCACCAAGGAGACTGGACGTGTCAGATGAACCTCATTCAGGCGCTTCGCGCCCGTCTGGGCCCCAGTCGGCCCATTTCCGCGACCCTTCCGCGGCAATTTTCCCTCCCAGGTGTGTCTCTCTCCGGAGTGATCTTGGGAAGGGGAAGCCAGCTCCACCACTTTCCGATGGCCCGACTCACACCCCACCCCTTTACCATGCCAGTCATCGGTCCCCAGGAGATCTATTCCCCGAATGTGGTCAAGAATCGCCGATATAACATCCTGTCGTTCGTGCCGCTCGTGCTTGCCGCGCAGTTTCGGCTCTTCTTCAACTTCTACTTTCTCTGCATTGCCCTTTCGCAATTCATCCCTGCGCTGAAAGTCGGTGCGTCTGACGATCTTGCCGCCTCCCTTTTGCTTGCCTCCTCTCCTCCGTCCTTCTTACACCCAACTTGGCCCTCCCCATCCCCGGCCCCTTTCCTGCCACTCCGCACGCATACAGGCTATCTCTTCACATATGTGGCTCCATTGGTATTTGTAATCGGCGCCTCGCTGCTCCGAGAGGCGCTCGATGAGGTGGGCCGCTGGCGACGCGATCGGGTGCGTTTACCTTCGACTCGCACTTTTCTTTTTTTTCTTTTCTTTTTGCTCGGCCTCCTCTCACACATGGATCCTCCTCTCCTTGTCACCTTGACAACTGTGGCGGCTGCTCCGGGCCACCAGGATGTCAATTCGCAACTATACACGAAGGTGGATCTCGCACGGCATGGAGTCCATGTGCCGGTGAGGAGCTGTGACCTCGCCGTGGGTGACATCATCATTGTTTCGGCCAATCAGCGGGTACGTCCATGCGAGCACCGGGCCATGCAACCGTCCTCACCCGTGTGCCGATCGCTTGCTGACATTCCCCCCTCATGGTATTTCCCTGCTTGGGGCTCAGATCCCGGCGGATTTGGTCCTGCTCCACACCACTGACGCTGATGGTGTGTGCTATGTGCGCACCGACCAGCTCGATGGTGAGACCGACTGGAAGATCCGGTACGCCAGGGGACATCCGCTCTCCCTCTGCCCTCCGGGCATGAGCAAGCCCCGGCCCGTGCTCTGTTGCTGACGTTGTCCGATATTTTGCCAGAACCGCGGTGTCCTACAGTCAGCGCCTGGGGCAGGCCAATCGCCTCCAGGATCTTCGTGCCTCGGTTCATGGTGCGCCGGGAAATGGACCTTTTCCGCATGCCCGCGCCAGGGCCCACCTGTTGACCTCCCTTTCTCTCCCTCTCTCCCTGTCTCTCTCTCTCTCCCTCTCCCTCGGTCCCCTGTCTGGGCCCAGTCGACCCTCCAACCAAGGACATCTACTCTTTTTGCGGCCTTCTCACCCCGAAGCCGCCATTGGATGGGGTGGCCGCCGAAAGTGAGCCCACTGTCATTCGCGACCATTCATCCTTCGAACCGGAGCCTTTGACCGTCGACCATGCCCTGTGGGCATCGTGTGTGGTCGCAGCCGGGTCCGCCACGGGTCTGGTGGTCGGCACCGGTGCCGACACCCGAGCCGCATTGAACAATGAGCCCACATCCCGGGGCGCCGGTGGCGCTGTCAAGGTCAGCCGCCTGGATCGCGAGCTGGACCGCCTGACCAAGGTACCTTCCGGCCGCTGTTGCCCTTCAAATTGCCTGTGATGCGGCTTCCCGCTGACACCTCCATGCTAGGGGCTCTTCCTGTTGACGATCTTCCTGTCGATTGTCCTGGTGGCGGTGGGCATTTTCACCGGCGGAAATCTTCTCCATGGCCCCCTGGCCGGGCTGGATACTCTGGCCGCTCTCGGAGTCACGACCTTCCGCTTTGTCATTCTCTTTTCCAACATCATCCCCATTAGGTACCGGCGTGGACATCGATTTGCTGTCCCAGGGGGCGGGGGGGGGGAGGGGGGGCAGCATTCCTTTTGGCCGGTCCAAGACTGACATCAAAACCCCAGCCTGCGCCTCAACCTCGACATGGCCAAGGCGGTATATTCGCACCAGATCTCCACTGATGAGGCATTCCGTGAGCCGGTCTCCAATAACCTGGGTGCCGGCTCCAGCGCCACGGCCATGGACGATTTCACCACACTCGGTGGATCACCAAGTGGGTCGCCGAATCTCCGGCAGCTGGCCGATCTGCCTGGGCGCCTTGCTCTTCTGGCGGCGCCCTTTTCCGGAACCAATGGCACTGGCAGCGCGGCCATCCCCCTTCAGCCGCTATCCGGCGCGAACAACGGCTCCGCCGGCGGGCAGGCCCCTGCCGGGGCTGATGCTCCGGAAGGGGTGCTCGTGCGGAATAGCAACATCCCGGAGGAGCTTGGTCGCATCGAGTTCTTGCTGACCGACAAGACCGGTACTTTGACCCAAAATGGTGCGCACCACGGCGCCAGTGCATTGGTGGGGACTTCATGGGGAAATCGGCGTTCGGCATCTGGCTGCAGCTGTGCTGTCGCCTGTGTGCCTCTCCTCCATTTGCTGACCAGGTCCCGGCTGTCCCCCGCCCAATCAGTGATGCTCATGCGACGCTTGGCCCTGGGGCACTCATGCCGACCGGCTCTCGGGTTTGATGCCATGGCGCAGGTTCGCTCGCGTCTTGCCAAGTATGTTTTTGGCTTGCTGGCAGACACCGGCAATCCGACCCCGGCATTTGAGAGCCCCTCGGAGTCCGAGCTCCTGCCTCTGTCACGCCTTGGCACCATGGGTCAAGTGGGCGCCAGTAGCGCCGCCCCGCCGGCCGGGCCCCTATCGGATGAGTCTCGCCTTCTGGCGGCTGTTCTCGGCATCGCCCTTTGCCACAGTGTGTCCCTGGTGACTGAGACGGCCCCGACGACGGCCTCGGGTCTCGATGCGGCCTCAGGCCCCCGGTCCTCCCTTGTGCGGCCCGCTTCCTCTTCGACCGGCTTGCGGTCGGATTTGGACTCGGCCGGCGAGGAGGAGGACCTTCAGCAGGAGCAGCAGCACCAGCAGCAGCAGCAGCTGGACTCCCGAGTACGGGAAATGCTTGACAATGGGGGAGACCATGTGCCCGAGTATCAGGCTGCCTCGCCGGACGAGCTGGCCCTTGTCCGGTGGTGTGCGTCGGTGGGTGTGGTTCTGGCGGCCCGGACACCCAAGGCCATGGCACTGGAGCTGCGCCTGGCCGGCCGGTCGTGGCCCGCGCATTTGGCTCCCGCGCTCGGGAGCCGGTCCATTGCCCCGGAAGAGGGGAGCTGGACTTGTCTTGAGCGCGGCGTCGCGCGGCTGGTCTTCGACATCCTCCACATCGATCCCTTTTCGTCCGAACGTCGACGCATGGGTATCCTTGTGCGGCTCCGGCCGCCGGTGGCCAACCCCGAAGCGGGCGTCACTCCGGCCGGGGCCGAACGCTTCTGGACCGAGGTAGCCGGCCAGCAGCGCAATGGTGGCTGGTACATCCTGAAGGGAGCGGATTCGGCCTTGCGGCCACTTCTCCGCTGGAACGACTGGTGCGAGTTGCCTTCCCGCCATCCCGGATTCTCCCGCCTCCCTCTGTTTGCCAGCTCTTTTGTCCTTGACCAACCATCTATCCTGCCCCTGTCCCAGGGTCGATGAGGAGTGCTCGAATATGGCACGCGATGCCCTTCGGACGCTGGTGCTCTGTCGACGCCCTCTGTCCTCGAATGAAATTTCCTCGGTCGTAGCCCGGCTGAATGTGGCTCGGGGCCCTGCCGGTGGTGGGGATCTCGCTGTCACGTCCATCGTCGAGTCGACCCTCGAACAGGTGGGCATGGATCCCCTCGGAGTCACCGGGGTGGAGGACAAACTGCAGGTTCGTCGGGAGTATGCTTGCTCGCTGCCGAGGCCGCTCCTTGTGCTAATGCCCATTCGCCTTGGTCGGTTGTATCCTCTCTCTCTCTCTCTTTCCCCCTCTGCCCGGGCCAACAACAGGATAATGTGAAGGAGACCCTGGAGGCATTGCGACATGCCGGAGTCAAAATCTGGGTTCTGACTGGCGATCGGGTGGAAACGGCGGTGCATGTGGCTCGAGCTGCACGTGTTGTCCCACGAACGGCCGCCGTGTATGCCATCTGCAATGGTGCATCTATCCTCCTCCCCTCCCTCCCACTATTTCTTCTTCTCCCGCCGAATGGGACTGGCCCTGTCTGACTCTATCTCTCGTGGTGGTAGTGACCGACCCTCTGGACATCGCCGAGCATCTGGATTCCATGCTTGCACGCTTCGGCTCGTCCAGCTCCCGTGGCGGCGCAGGCGAAGAGGGCTGTGTTGTTATCGACGGCGTGTCGTTGCAAGTATGTGTTTGGCTCCGGCTCCTCCCTTTTTCCTCCCCCCCCCCCTCCCCCCGCATATGTGTGCATAGCCTGCTCGTGCTGCTCCCCTCGAGCAAGATGACTGACGCCCGTGTGGATGCTCGACAGACGTGTCTCGACTTTTGCCCGCACGAGTTCCGCACCGCGGTTCTTGGCCTGCCATCTTTGGTGTGCGCTCGTGTGTCCCCCCAGCAGAAGGCCGCCATCGTGCATCTCCTTCGCAGCTGCAAGCCAACGAACAGCCCGGTCACCGGCCAGAGGGACACACATGGCGGCAACCCGGCCGGCGGCTCGGCCCACCGCCAGCAACAATACCATCCCCATCATCACCATCACCCGCTCTTGGGGTCCGGCCACTATGGCGATGATGATGACGATGGGGGCCATCTTCTGTTCAATGCCCCCGGGCGGCATGACCCGGACGATGATTATGGCTTCCTGGAGCCACATCGGCAGCAGGGGCACCTTTCGGCCGACCAGCCACTGGCCGGCATGACTGGGGACTTCTTTTCGGCGGCCGGAGCCGGTACTTCCGGCGGCGATGATGGGTATCACCACCCCGGGCCGGCCCCCTCGGCCTCGGACTCGGCCCAATACCGGCCACCGATTGTGTGCGCCATCGGCGACGGTGGCAACGATGTGGCCATGATCCTGGCAGCCGAGGTGGGTGTCGGTATCCGGGGCAAGGAGGGCTCGCAAGCTTCCCTGGCGGCGGATGTCAGTGTGTCGCGCTTCGGCGACCTGAGGCGCCTGCTGCTGGTCCATGGTCGCAATAGCTACAAGCGCTCGGCCACTCTGAGCATGGTGATCATTCACCGTGGGCTGATCATTTCCCTGGCCCAGGCGCTCTTTTCGGCGCTCTATTGGTCCTCGCCGGTGGCCCTGTACACGGGCCATTTGCTGGTCGGGTACGATGGCAAATGCCAGCCTTCTGTTCGGTGATTTCGCATGACTCCCAGCGGGCTGACTCTCCCCGTCTGCATGGCAGGTGGACCACATTCTTCACCATGGCGCCGGTCTTTTCCCTGGTCCTGGATCGAGACGTCGCGGCCGATGTGGCCCTGGCTTTTCCGGAGCTGTATCGTGACCTGCGGCCGGAGGTGCATGTTCCCTCTGGCTTTGCCGCCGGTGTGGCGGCGGCCACCGCCGGGTCGGGGGCACAGGGCTCGCGATACAGCGCGGTCTCCGCCGGTGGGTATCGCTCTCGGACATTCCACCTTCCGGAATGGCTGACGGCTGGGGGCCTACTCCGGCGCTTTGAGAAGTTGTCAATCTCCAGTGGCGGGCCACTTGGGAGCCGGTCAACCATCGGCTGGTCACTTTTGGCCATGTGGCAGGCCTGCTGCGCGCTCGGCATCGCCCAAGTGGTGGTCTCGCCGAGTGGCGATTTGCGTGAGCTATTGGCGGTCAGCTTCACGGCGCTGCTTCTGGGGCAGCTGTTGACGCTCTGTCTAATGGTCAAGTCTTGGCATGGGTACATTGCCTGCGCTGTATTTGCCTCGGTGGTTTTCTACATCATGGCCAGCCTTTGGTGGCTTGGGGATTACTACGGTATGTGGCGGCCCCCCCCCCCCCCCCCCCCCCCCTCACTTGTTCTGCAGCCGGACTAACGAGCCATCATAATTGCCTACGTCCATGTGCGTGTGCGTGTGCGTGTGCGTATGTGCACATAGACTCGGAATTCATCCGCTCGTTGGAGTTTTTCTGGAAGGTGGCAGCCACTGTGGCGCCAGCCATCTTGCCGCCCTTTGTGTGGTTGATCTACCGGACACGCATTCGCCCGCCCAAATATGCCAAACTTTCCTCCTAGCCCCGTGCACCCCCCTCCCCCGCCATTGCAGGAGGTCACGCAATACACACAACCCATTTGTCGATGTGGGGAAAGCACGGGTGGCCTCACTCCTGGAGATGGGGAGGACGAGGCGGTGAGGTCAAAGCACCAGGAGGAAGGGGCGGGGGGAGCCAAGGCGAGACGCATGAAATCACAGAGAGACACGCTTTTGGATGATTGGTAGATTGGAGGAAGGGATACACGGGGAAGGAGGGGAAGGGAGCGGGGGCGACGGCGGTGGACGACCGGCGATGCTACACGGGGACGCCCCCACGGCCAGGGGGGGGGGGGGGGGATTGAGAATGAAGAGGAGGTTTGAACGTGGGAGAGGGGGATTGGCTCGAGGGAAACTGGGAGCAGGCGTGGGTGGAATCCCGTGTGCCGGGGGGGGGGGGGGGAGAGAGAGGAAGAATGAAGCGAGGGAGTCTGAAAAGTGGGGATGAATGGGGGAGGAGTGCACACGACATGCGAGAGAGGGGGGGGGGAGGGGAACGCATGCGCATGTGCACATCCCACATCAGCACCCTTTAGGCGAACTTCTTCATCAGGCGCTCGAGGCCCTCCTCCTCGTACTCACGGCGGGTCATCCAGGAGGACTCGCTGTTCTTGATGATCTCAGCGTAGACAGCACCACCAAGGAAGACCATGTGCTTACGGCGGGGCGGGTCCTCAATGCGGATGCGGAACTTGCTCAGGCGCTCGACGTCGTTGTTGAGCACGCGGGTGAGGTAGAGCTGCTTGACCTCCTTCTCCAGACGCGAGGGCAGACCGGGATACATGGTGGAACCACCGGAGAGCACGATGTTGCGGTAGAACTCGGTACGCAGATCGATATCGGCGCCCTGGATGCAGTTGAACAGCTGCTCGGCGATGCCGACCGACTCGACATCGATGAGAGACGGCTGGAAGAGAGCCTCCGGGGCCTGGAAGCGCTCGGAGCCGACACGGATGACACGGCCGTCGGGAAGCTGTCGAAGAGAGAGCCGGACAGGGGGGGGGGGGTCCAGGGGGCCCCGGGCCGGATAGTGACGGCTGGGTGGGGTGCGCGCCGGCCGGGGGCGGTGCCAGCGGCGCCTGGCCTGGGGGCCAAATGGATGCGGGCTCAAGCCCGCCAGCGAGCCCCCGGCGGCGAGTGGGCTTTGATGTCTTGGGCGCCGAGCGAGGAGAGCACAGGAGGCAAGAGAGGAAGACAGAGGGGTGGGGGGGGGGGGGGGGGGGGGAAGAGGGGGGCAGGGATATGATGTGTCAGTGTGCGGGGCCGCAAACACATGGACATGGGGAAGGACAATGCCAGGTGGACATGTGGGAAGCGGGAGGAGGACGGGAGGAGGACGGGCTACATACAGTGTAGGGCTCGACCAGGACGGTGGTCTCCTGAGAGAGGCGGTTCTCAAGCTCGAGGTCGTAACTGGGTGGGATGGAGCAGAAGCAGGCGGCGGTGGGGCATTTGTCAGAAGGGTGAGGGGGGGAGGAGAAGGGAAGGGGCGCGGGGGAGGGGGGGAGGGGGGGGACCGAGGGGAAGCCCATATGAGCATGGGCAAATGGACAGGGAGAGGGGGAAAGGGCCGCGGCTAAAGAGACGCAAGAAAAACGGACCCGGTGTAGCAGAGGGACTCCTTGATCTGGCGGACGGTCTCGAAGTCGGCGGTACGGTTGAAGGTGTAACCGCGCAGGAGGAGGAGCTTGATCAGGTAGCGGGTGATGTCACGACCGGCAACATCCAGACGCTTGGTCAGGTGGGGAAGCTGGTAGCCCTGGTAGACGGGGACAATATGGGTGACACCATCACCGGAGTCGACGACAACACCGGTCTGGAGACCTGCATGGCGATGGGAAAGAGGGCGAGGGGGAGGCTGTCAGTGGCTGGGGCCCCGGAGAAGGGGAGGTAGGGAGGGGGGGGGAAATGGCCGACCAGCGTACCCTGAGCGTAGAGGGTCATGACGGCCTGGATGGCAACATGGACGGAGTGGAACTGATACTTCTCGAACATGGTCTTGACCATGAGCTCACGGTTGCGGAGGGGGTTCATGGCCGGCTCGGTGAGGAGAATCTTGCTGTCGCGGGGGTCGATCTACGACAAGGGCAAGAAAGAGGGAGGGGGTGTGTGATGTGTGCGTGTGTGCGTGTGTGTTAGAGTAAGCTAAGTGGCCATCGGCCACCGGTCCAACGCGGTGCTCCGAAAGGAGAAAGGGAGAGGGCAGCAGATGGAGCCATGGAGAGCGGGGAAAAGCGAAGCGGGAGACATGCGCACCTTCAGGACGTCCTCGAAGGTGTGCTTCCAGACATGCTCCATGTCCTCCCAGTTGCGGATGACACCGTTCTCCATGGGGTAGGAGAGCTGGAGCTGGGAGCGCAGCTTGGAAGCGGCCTCACCGACCATGATGTCCTTGATCTCGACACCCTCGACCTTCTCCTCGGCACGGAGCATGGGCCGGCCGACGAGCGAGGGGAAGACGGCCTCAGGGAAGTTGGAGCCGGCGTAACCGCACTTGACGAACTGCTCGCCGGGGGGAGGGGGGGCAGGGGAGAGGGGTCATGAGGGAAGGCAAAGGTGGGCAAATGTGTCAGGTGTTGTAAGGCTCCGGCGGAAGGGAGTGTGAAGGGGGACGGGGAGAAAGGAAGAAAGAGAAATGGAAAAAGGGAAAGAACGTACACCGGTACCATTGTCGCAGACAATGACCTGGTTGGATTGGAAAGACATGGCGGGGTGGATCAAACTCCAGACAAGGACTGGCAACGACGACGACGACGACGACGACAACGACAGGAATGCCCACCAGGAGCACCGGCAGTGAGAGGAGCCGGGAAGTCGAGAGGCAAGGGAGGGGCAGGAGGGAGGTGGGAAGGGGGGGGGGCGGGAAGAGACACTGTGGTCAGTGTGCGAGCGTCGGTCGAGCGAGGCGCGGGAGGTCGAGGAAGCAGCAGGGCACGGCGCAGGACATTGCACCATAGGATGCAATGCGGCGGCGGCGGCGGCGGCGGCGGAGGCGGTGCCGCAGGGCGATGGGCGGACTGGCGGGGGAGAGGCGATGAAGCGAGAAAGGGGGGGCAGATGAAAAGGGAGTTTGTGCGGCGAGTATGTGTGTGTGTGTGTGTGCATGGTGTCTGGAGAGAGAGAGAGAGAGAGGGAGGGAGGGAGAGATAGAGAAAGAAGGAGGGGGAGGGGGGCAGGGCAGAACGAGGGGGTATGTACGCGGAGGGAGAGCGAAAGGAACAGGGGCGAAAGAGAGGGGAAGAAAGGGGCAAACGAACGGGGGTCCATTCACCTGTTGTGGCCGGGGGTGATCGCCCAGGCAGTCGGTGCGACGCCCGAAAAAACTGGGGCCCGTTTCCCTGGAGAGGGCGAGGGCGCCGGGAGGGCAATGTTGTCGGACTAGGGGCCGGGGGCCGGCCACCGGGGCCGCGGCAACCGAGTTCGAATGTGCTGATGCCCCTGAATGAGAAGGGGGGCCGGGCGCGAGGAGCGGCGGACGGGGCTGGGAGCGGGCAGGGGGGGGGGGGGAACGTGCGACCAAGCCGCCCCCCGCCCCGCCCTGCCCCGCCCCGCCCCGTCCCCAGCCCCCCCCCCCTCCCCCAGCCGTGAGCGGGAGACACCCAGGCCCGAAGGCACTGGAACGGGGCGACCGGGCCCCGGCAGAGAGAGAGAGAGAGAGAGAGAGAGAGAAGGAGAGCGAGTCGGCCCGGGTGGGGGCGGGGAGCTGGGGAAATTAAAAACAAAGAGCGGCCAGGTTGGCACACTCGAGCGCGCCGCGCCGGTCCTGTCTCCGTTCCGGGGTTTTCCTTCATGTATCGCCCGATGCCTGCCGCACCGGACATGTGAGTGGGCGGGGGTCGGGTGCCCTGGGGTGCGGCAGGGCATGTGTCTATGCATGTGTGTGTGTGAGTGTGTGTGCGGCCCGCGCCCGGGCGCATGCCAGTGGAAGAACGAGGCGCGTCCTGACCCGGCCGACCACTAGCAAGGCGCACCAGGCAGGGGGAGGCCGACATGAGGAACCAGACTGAGGGGCCTCTCGGGGGCGGGAACAGGCGGGGGGCACGGAGAACGCGGCAGGCCCACCCCGAGCAGAATGGGCAAGGGAATGTACGTGGCCCCGGGGCCGGGAGCGGGGGGCGCAGCCCCAACGGCTAACCATCCGGCCAGACGCCGCGGAGGGAGGGGGGGGGAGCCGGAAGAAATAAACACGCTACCGCTCATGACTCCCGCAGTCTCCGGAGCCGCCCCGGTCCCTACTTCGGGGCTGGCATGGGGAGGGGGGAGCGCGAGGGGGACCGGGGGGGGGGGCATGCAGATGAGAGGCCTACGAGCCTTGGGGATGGGCTGGCCCAAGCGCATTCCCTCCGCGCCTGGAGGGCGGGTTAGATAAATGCATAAGATATTACGCTCAACATACACGGTATTTTGTGCCCGAGCACGAGGGGGGACCTGTATCCTTCTCTGTCGTCCCTTGTTCCTTCCCCCCCCCGGGGGGGAGCACTTCGGCCGGCTCCCCTTCGAACATCCTCCCCACCCTCGCGTGTATCGGCCCGGCGCCGACCTTTTTTTCTCGACTAGATTCCCGGTAGAGCGCGGCCGTCTGCCGAGCTGGCTGTGGCACCGCCCCGCCTGATCGGCCATGTTCCTCATTGTGGTGCTTTGGCTTTCGGACGCATTCTTGCCCGGGAAAATACAGCATCAAGGGTCCTCTGGAGGGTGTGTCTTTCGATGCACCCCTCTGTGCCCGGTGCCGGGCCAGGGGAGCGGGCATTTTACTTTTTGGCGAGCGGGATGCCGACCAGGTGCCGCCCCTTTTTTCATCCGTCGCCCTCCCCCCCCCCGCCCTGCCCCACCCCGCTCTTTTTGGGCCGGGTCCCCTCAGCCCGGAGAGCCAGCAGGTTCCGAGGACTGGGATGTGGGGCGGCAACCCTACGTCTGTGGGGATTTCGTCATCGACAGCCCGAGGGCCGGGAGGGTCATCGCGCGAGGCGCCCGACGCGAGGAGTCTGCGCGTGGGGGCATGTGCCGTCTGCCGGCCGGCCGGCCCACTCGCCCGCCTGGGCCCTCCCCTGCGCATCGACTTGGCGGCCGAAGAGGCCGGCCCTCAAGGAATGTACATCCGGGCACGGGGAATGCTTCCCTCTTCGTGTGGAGATCAGTGCCCCATGGGGAGGGGCGGTGGCCGGCGGGTGGGCGAGCGACTGAACGGCCGTCTGGCCGTTGAGGGCTTGCCCCGATCAGCCCCCCGCCCTCGGTGCCTTTCCTTCAGCATCTTCATCATCATCATCTTCTTCTTTCTCTCTCTCTCTCTCTCTCGCGCATTCTATCGCCCCCGTCGATGGCCTTCTCCCCCTCTGTCAAGGGGAGCGCGGAAAATGCCTCCTACCGTGGACCGACCATCCCCCCTCTTGTTCCTCCCCCTCCCGGGCTAATGCCCCCCTCGGATTCCAGAGGGCCTCTCACAGGACGGAGCTGGCGGAAATACCGGCCACCGGTACACGCTCCCAAGCTGGGCCCGGTTGGGTTGGTTGACTGGCCGAGGGGGGGGGGGGGGGAAAATACCGGAACGCCCGGAGGGCGGTTTCGAAATTACCCTCTCATCGTCACACGATCTCCGTGGCAATAGAACAGCATTGTTCAATGACATTACACATCACGGGGACACCTAATCACACCGAGAGGCGAACATTCGGCCCAGCGGGTCCAGGCTAGCGCGGCCGGACCTCGGATGGAGAGCGTCTCGAGAAGGGCGGAGGAGGGTGGGGCTCTTCCGGGCGGTTGAGTGAGGCAGGCGCCAAAAGGGGCCTGGGGAGGTGGGGAGGCAGGGAGGCAGGGAGGGCGGCGCGGCGGCGGCGGCGGCGGGGGCGGCGGCGGCTGGAGCCGGGGCCAGTTTGACGCCTCGGGTCGCATGTTCGACCACGGAGGGCGAGGTCGGGGCCGCGAAGCGGGCAAGGGGCTCGACCCCTCTCCTCTCCGGTGCGTGTGTCTACGCATCCGGTCCGGCGTTTCGGAGGGTATCATGGCAGGTTCCTGCGTAGAACTCCGCGCCGCATGGAGGACATGTAGGCACATGAAGACAGGACACGGCACCGGAGGGGCGCGGAGTGCCGGGGACGGTGGACATGCGGCGTGTGTTGGTGTGCGCCAGCCTCCCCCCCCCCCCCTCTCCCCGCCCCCCGGCCACTTGGAGACCCCGTCCTGCGGGGAGGGTGGTTGGTGATCGCCCAGAGGGGGGGGGGAGGATGTTCAGCCTTGCTGGGACCCCCTTTTTGTGCTGGCCCATGCGCGCCTTGGGGCGACTCCCCCCCCTTGTTTCATGGCGCTCGAAGGTGAAGGTGCATCTCGGTGGCCTGTGTGATGGCCCGGGAGGACGCCGCCCCCTGTCGGCCAGTCGCTGGGGCGGCAATGTTGCCAGGCTGGGGCGGGGGAAGCCTGGCTGGAGGGGAGCGGGTCCTCGCTTGTGGAGATTGTCCACGCGTGCCCCGCTTCAGGGGCATCCGCAGGGAGCCATCCACTCGGGGCCTTTTCGCCGCTCCCTTGGGTCTTTTGTGACTGGCCTGGAGAGGGGACCGTGGTGCGGGCGTGGTGGCCTGGTGCTCGCATTCGCGCGCGCGCGCGCGGGGTGCTCCCAGCGAGGATGGATGTCGGCAGCCGTTTCGGCCACCAAGGAGACGCACCCCTTCGAATGTTCCCCTCGGTGGAGACCCCAGCCCCGAGGCCCCTAGAGGAAAGGGAGAGCGGGGGGGGGGGCGGGGGGGGGGCGGGGCCGGGGAGGTGGCTCATACACATCCTCACGCGCTCGCACACGACCGACTTCCTGGGCTCGGTTCCGGCCTGTCTCGGGCTGCTGGCACGAGCACGCCCCCGCCTCTCGGGCCCCTGGCTCCGTGGTATGGGTCCATAGAGACACCGGAGCCCGAGCGGGTCGTTCACTCGGCCGTGGCCGCCGAAGAACGCCGGTGATGCCACGTTACCCGGGAGGGGAAATGGCTGTTGGGAGAGTTGGGAGCAGAGGCGGCCTGGGGGGGGGGGGGGGGCGAGCGGGGCCGCGCTGGTTCCCAGCGTACGTGCCCGCCCCTCGCGGCCTCTTGCGTGTGCTGGCTGCTGTGTCTCTTCGTCGAAGCCCCGGTGCCTGGCCTGCGGCTCGCCTTCGTGTCTCCGTGTGCATCTCTGCCTGACTGGCTCTCGCCCTTTCGACCTGTCTCCCGTCCCTCGTTGTAATTCCGTAAGATAGCCACATGCCAAAGCATGGGCGTGGAGCCTGGCGAACTGTCCCGGTGCTTGCGTGTGTGCACGCGTGCACACACGCCACACACTTGCGCCTGGGGTCCCCTGGACTCCTCACTCGGCCGTTAGGCTGTCGCGCCCGGCCGGCGAACGAGAACCGACAGACAGCGCGCCCACATGCCAGCGATACGACACGGAGGATCGGCACGCTCTGGTGTTCAAGACGATGGCACAGCAGCGGGGCGGGGGAATGGGCGTGCGGGCCGGCACCCCGGCAGGATGTTCCG